CTTACAGAATGAGCCAGATATTTGGTCCAGAATGAGCCTTTCTGGACCAAATATCTAATCTAATCAGACTTTTTAATAATGTGATTTCACATAAAAGAGGAATGGGTATTGATGCTAAATTTTTAGAAGTTTGAATCACGCAGCAGTCTAGTTTGTCCCAACCTGGAAACAAAATCTGATGACAGACAAATCTTTTAGAATCAGTCTGCAGAGCTGAAAATGCAGTACAAGACTGTGTGGGCATTGAAATAAAAAAATTAAAAAATCCAGCACAGTCCCCTTCTGAATCTTGTGATAAAACCTCTCAAGAAAGCGCAACAGTGCCATGCCTCTGTTTAATAAGGAGTTTAGGACCCAGTAATGAACAGGCCCAGTGAAGAGGAAATGGAGCTGAATACAGCCAAAAGCTACTTCAGTAAGGCCATAAAGGTTTCCAAGCACTTGTACAGCACTAGACTAAAGAGTCAGTTCAGCAGTGATTTAGACTATGGCAGTGTTTTTACTCACAGACAACAGGAAAAAGGCCCTCCCAAGCATACTCCTTCCCACCCTTCACCATGACCTCAGTTCCTTGCATTATTTTGAACAGCAAGGTCCCTTCAAGCAAGACATCAAGAAATCTGGAGCTTCTGAAGGAGTTTCACACCTTGAACACAAACATATACTTGGCTCTACTGTGAATCCATCTATCCATCTATTCAGTTTCCAAACCAGCTTATCTTTTCACATGACTGGGGCCAGGCCAGGGGGATTTGACAGCTTTTTTTGTTCTACAAGAGTTCATAGACCTGTGTGATGTCCTAGCAACCTTTACAATCATCTCTCTGAAATGAATAGTGAATGCATGAGCAGGATAGGGTTTTCTTGTCTCATTTTCGTCAAGCTGGGGGCATTAGTGACATTTAGCATAGCCATAATGAAGGTTTGCACAGATGGTAGTCTCACAGAGCAGATACTTATCATCTTCTGCAGCTGGTGCAATGCCATGGTTCTGCTGACTTCAAACAGTCAGAGACGTCATAGAGGCAGAACTACCTCTTAATACACCTCTGCACAGGCTTCACCACTCAGCTGTGGTGGCTGCTGTTTCCTTACTACAAATAGTTTTGGAAGAGTCCGTCTGACACCCCACAACGTCAATGCTACGATACTGTTTGTTGATTTTAGCTTTATTTTAAGCATCATGTCACCAGAGCTTCTTCAGCAGAATCATTTGCTGGATGTTGTGTGTGCTTGTGGACTTGTGAGGTCCCAGAACTTTTTTTATGGTCACTGAATCAGTGTGTTAATGGCTACTTCTTAATGCATGCTGCTAAACCATGCTTATGTAAGCAAGTGGTGGACAAGGTAAAAGGAACACACAGAGCGTAGTATAGTGCAGTCAGTTGCAGTAGTCCTGCCAAATCTGTTTAAAGCTTACTATGCCCAGTTCTGTTGAAGCTATTTGGAAATTGATTTCTCACTAAATAAGCTCCCTGGAGAAAAATAACATTGCATTGTCACTGCTCACTTTTCTCTTTCTCAAGTGCTGAAACTATATTTAGATTCCAGGTTCACAAGCATTGCTCGGGATTTCAGATCTTAATGCTGCCTGACTTGAATCTTTGTTTTTGATCTAGTGTTGTATGGTAGTGTTCTGATCTCTAAAGATTTTTATTTGGTGATGTCAAAGTTTAAAAAAAGAAGCAAAAATATTCAGTTCTTGATTTCAGTTTGATTGAAACTGATTAGTGATGTGTTAGTGCAAGAGCCAAGTGTGTAACACATGTATTTTGCAAAAATCAAATGTGGAAATGACATGCTGTGGTAATTCTGCTAAAGTCAAGGTTTTAACACTAAAGTCATTCAAGGGCAAGACAGTTGAGGAGGTTAGGTCAGTGCTGCCATCTGCTGGTATGATAGGAATATTAACAAACCTAACTTTCCATTCAAAGTTAGATTTACAGTATAAACTGTTAACATTGTAAGTTCTTTCGTGTCTCTTTATTTCTTTCTGTCTCTCTCCTCCTTCTCTGTCTGTCACCGTCTCCATCTCCCTGTGTAACTCTCTAGTTGAATACTTCCTCGCCGAGAGAGAGAGTTTGTGTGGAAGTGTGTATGTGTGTACAATTGCACAAAGTCCAGTGGATAAATGAACACAAAGAGCTGAATAGAGCTGCTCGTTGCCATGGGGCAGTTCCTGGGCGTAAGGTTAATTCTCCGTGGTTACCAGCCAACAGTGATGTAAAGAGTTGAGTAACTGTGAAATTATGGGATGCTTAGTTAGGAGAGAGAGATCAGGAACAAACAGGCGGACAGAGAGGAGACAGAAAACTTGAGTGAGACAGAGACAAAGTTATGTAAGTGGACAAACAGAGTAGAATCCAAACTGCTGAGTATGCTGCCTGACTCTGATCCAATCACAGCATGCGAAAACAGCCATTGTGCTGCGCTCGGTTCTTGTTCACTGTTTGCATTATCACGTACACACAGTAGAGACAGAGCTAACATGAGACTGAAACTGTGTTCACCTGATGGCGTCTCTATAAAGTGAGCAAAACTATTTTGTTTGTGTTGAGTAATTCACTTCTGTCACTGTAGTCATTTTGTTAGATTATAAATTAACTTGGGGTCCATCAGACGTATGCTGCACATATTATCTTACGCTGTCTCCATGGATACAGTGTTTTTGTACATGACCCTTACAACTGGCTGACTACATACTTTACAAAGCAGGCTGAGCTGCATTAGTTTGGTTGTTGCAAGAGCCTTTCAGTTACACTGCATGATAACCTTGAATAGAGCATTGAAAACATTGATTTTTTGTGACAATTCAGCCAGATTGTTTTCATCGCTGAAACAGAATAGGCCATAGAGTTCACAACTCTTGCTTGTTTTCTCTCTTTGTTAGTCCGGCTTATTTTTCAGGCTCATGAAGGGGGCGTTGATGGCGCATGACGTTACATGTTTACACATCTGATACGGCCACATGTCCTGTCATGCTCATGCCTATTTACTTGATTCTTTCCAGCTTTTGGAACTGTGTACTTCGTGTACTTCGATTTAAAATGACTTTTTATTAACTTGTCATACAGTATTATATTCCACTGGTACATTTTACACATTTTATCTTTTTGTATTACCATACAAAAATCCATTGCATTACTGTTAATTACTGAGTTTGGATCAGTTTCTATGATGAGAAGTGCTGCTTCTCTAAAAAAACATGTCTCTTTTGACTCCTGAAAAAACCAACACATGACCATGTTTTGTGTGACCATAAAGCATTGAAATCACATGTACAGTATCACTCACTGCTAGCTTTTGTAACCGAACCAGTGTGCTGTCCTGTACAGCAGTTTGTATTGTAATGGTTCACAGCATGTGCAAATTTACTCTAGATGCTGGACTGAATCAGAGTGTAAGCCACAGTAAGGCTGAATGTTAGCTGACCAAAGAGGAAAGTTTTGTGGCGAGTTTGTAATGTAGTTTTGATAACAGGGTAGACATTTGTCTGCTGTATGTAAGTGGAATAACTGAACAACAGGATGCCCAGCAAATGTTAGGAAATAATCATATAATATTTCCCATTCTCAGTTTTTTCCTGGTTTAAACATGAGTTGTCTTTAAAGTTGTGCTAGTTTTCTGTGGCTGAAATTTAAATCTGCAATCAAGCCAGTGCCACTGCACTTTTATACAAGCTAACACCTTGGTGAAGACCTGCACACACATACTGGACTCAGAGATTTACAGGGTTAGTGACATTTGAACACCTTGGTGCAGACTCCCTCACGTAGATCTTGTGGACTGCCAGTGATATTTGACCATGTTGATGTACTCTCCTGTATTTCATGTGCGTACCCTCTGTGACCAGTGGCAGCATTCAACTGTAGCCCAGTCTAATTCTGGACAGGCCTGTGCTGCAGCTCCATTATATAAGTATTACAGTATTTGGTTGAATGGCTTCAATGGGGAAAATTGATTGACAACATCAATAAGTTTATTATAGTTCGCCACAGTTAGGTGTTCTTTATATGTTAAGAAACTTTTGCTATTAAAAGTGAGAGTATCTAGAGAGCAGCATGCACCTGTTCCTTTCACCAACGATCCACAAGTCACTGAATTACTCGGAGGAGAGTGTGATACAAAATTGGTAAGTTTTGGTGATTTTTAAACTCAATTTATGATCTTCCTCCAGTTTTATAGAATTACTTTTCTTTTCACTCGCATGTTGTTCTGGATTGGTTTTACCACACATCAGACCACCAGTAGCGAGTTTCATTCAGAGTTGCTCCTAAAAACTGACATAAGAATTTCTAAAATTAAACATTTGATCATTGACTCACTATGCTCTACCTTTTATGTCTAAACTACATGTGACACACCCTAACCACAACCATGCATAAAGGAAGTTGAGTAACTGTTAATTACACAGTAATGCAGCTATTAGGCCTCTCCTAAGTCTTTTATAAACAAGCTTAGGAATAAATTCAGTGCCCTTCAGTACCAGATGCTCTGATCTGTAGGATTACATGTAAAACACACTGAGTGGGTTTTTGGCAGTTTTTCTGCTGCAGCTTTGCTCGTGTTGTACAGGCCATGATTATTGCTGCAACTGTGTTAAATCTGTTCCGTTGACCTGTTTCCCTCGGGCGGTGAATAATGTTTAACACTTGCATATACTCTCAGTGTGAAAATCTCCTCAATCACATAGAATCTTTTATCAGGTCTGTGTCTCCATGTAAGAGTTTAATATGCTCCGCTGGAGCTGCTGAAACACATAGTAAAACAGTAGGAACCGCTTCAAGCCTGCTGTTAGCTACGCTGTGTTTATATAGGATAGAGAGAGCGAGAGTGTGTGTGTGTGTGTGTGTGTAGTTACAGCTCATAGGAAGAGCCCAGCTGGGTCTGCTGGGAGGAAAAGAGAGGGGGGGACAGAGCAGGCGTGGGGCGGTCCATGTGGATTCCGTCATTGGCATGTCAGGCATGACGAACCAGTTTGGCTCGGATCTCTTCTCCTCTTCACTCCTCCCTCCCTCTTGTCCTCTCTCTCTCTTTCTGTCTTTTCCACACAGTGCCGTCCTCTAAAACTTTCGGCTCCCTTTCTCTTGTTCTTCCTATCTCTCACCCTCCCAACTCTCTTTCTCTGTCTGCACTCTGTGTTATTTCTTGCGACCTTGCTCTCTCCTGGACCAGTGGAAAATGTGATTTGAGGGCAGAAGAGTCAGTGGTTGTCGGGCTTCAGGCACCATGAGTGAGTACACTGTGCACAGCGTGGTTTTTCTGCCAGTTTCGGCTGTTCTCAGTTGGGTTTATGAGCAGTTTGGCTAACATCTGGGTAGAGTTCTCTCACTGTCTCTATCTCTCGATCATCCTGTGTTTGTTTGTCTCTTTCTGTGAGTCACTCAGTTGTTTCCTCCCTTTTAGGTCAGTATAGTTTAGGCAGCTTTTAGGGATTTACCTTTTACAAGTTCAATATTTGTATTTTTAAGATTTTTTTTTGTTTTTAAAATGTTTGATAAATAAATAAAGGGTTATGGGTCCAAACCTCTAACATTGTTTTTAAAGCCAAAAGGTTTGCTGTGAATACATTGTAGAAAGGTTAACTTGTTTTTTTTTTTTATTTGAGTACAAGCAGCAGAAGTGCTTTACAGGAGGCAGCCATTCTGCTTAATAACACTTCTGAAGTCATGTCCAGCAGGTCTGGTGTGAATCCAGCCCTTCTGGTTGTATACCCTACTCTCTTCAGTGACCTAATTTAGGGTCTCAGTGTAGTGATACTACACTTAGCTATACTGTACTGTATGTCCAGTGTTGGTGCTTGTGTGGGTCAAGTGGAGGAAGGCAGCTCTGTTGGAAGTGTCTGTTATTACTTTGTCTTATTTTGACCAGACTCTGTCTGTGGCTCATTGTGATCATTCATCACTAGCTGCAAATCTCTACAGCTAAAATAATGACCAGATCTTGATTTTGACACTTGTCTGTCGGACTTTCTGCCTCCTGACTCTGTGTCCTCTGCACATGTTGTTGCATGTAGTGCTCAGATCAACAGTGGCCTGTTCTTGCATTTGAACTTGAACTTTCTTCCTCTGGTGGCTGCTAGCTGTTATTAATGTTGGCATGTCCCTACAGCTTGTCCTCTTTGTGCCTGCAGTCTTTATTTACATTTGAATATTGGACTTAGACTTTGTATATGTTGTATATCAGCTTTGTCTTAATTGAGCAGTTATAACTTGAAATGCCACTGTCACTTGTGATCACTATATCCCTGCTATTTGTAAAGTTGACCTTGTATGCTGGTTTATTGTGCTCTGTAAAAACTATTATATGATATAGTTTATCTTTATCTTATGCTGACAGAGAACCGCAACATAGAAAACACTGTCTGCTGTTTTAAGTACATAAAAATAAATATTCAGTCAACGACACTGTTACCACAGGCGGTCTGTTTACTTTGTACTTTCGGACAGTCCTGGTTAACTTGTTTTGCACTGTGTGCAAAAGTGTTTATATGTGAGAATTGTGAAATTTTGAACTGTGAAATGCATTCACACATTTAACAGAAAGATCATTCTAAAACTAACCAGATACAACACACACACACACACACACACACACACACACACACACACACACACACACACACACACACACACACACACACACAAAATTACATTTTACTGTCTCCATTGACCTTTTGTCAGAACACACAGCACGAACAGTTTGTGCTATTATTATCCTCATCCGTGTCCTATCAGTACTCAATTTAGGAGCTGAAGCGCACAGGTCATATTTCATATCAGTACAGAAGGGTAATATTGTGAATCTAAATAACAACCTCCTCCTTCCCAAGTTGGGTTTAATATTATTTCGTTTAATGTGAGGGTGTTCTCAAAAACTTTTAAGTTGATGTTCCAAAAAGTTAACTTGACATTATATATGGCTGCTCACTTTACAGGTGCACTTATTGAAAAACAAGCCCTGGCTTATCATCTTAATAATCATACTGATTTATTTTGAAAGATAATGGTTTGACATTTCAGTGGTTTTTTCGAAAAAGCTGGACTTATTGCATGTGATGTTGAGGAGAAATACAATAACCACATGAATAAAATTGGCTCAAACTTTACACAGCTGTTAGTTTGCTGCTGTAATGTGTATTGTGTCTAATGAAAAAACAGTTTTTTGTAAGAGAACCAAATGTATGATTAGCCATAGACCAGAATAAGAATCATCACATAATTCTTGGTGGCACAAATCAGTAAAAACTGTCGTAAACTGTAACTTTTCTAATGGCATTGGTAGGAACTGTAATTCAGTCTAATACTTACTCCTGTGTTGAAACCTCACTGGCTGGGCTTGCTGAATGATTCCCCAGCTGCTCTGTGTGTGTGTGTGTGTGTGTGTGTGTGTTTCCCTTTTTCAGCACAGTCAGTCATTCAGTCTGGATTAGCAAACTGTGAGAGACAGCATTGTTAGAGAGACACAGACAGACAGACGGAGAGAGAGAGACGGACAGCAGATGAGAGACACAGAGCCAGAAATAGAGGGAGACAGAGGAACAAAGGACATTATTTTTACTGTATGTTAATTCTCATTCTGTCTAAGAGCTTATCTATTTGACGTTTCTTTAGAAAAAGTGACTAAAACCTGAATTCTGTGAGTGAACAGAGAGGATGTGCTCTCTAATAGAGTCCTAAATGCATGCTACTTTTTAATAGCACACTAAACTGATGTGTGAACAGCGAGGCACATAGCTGAAAGCTTAGGTAAGATTATTTCATTTTCCACAGCAGCCCAGAAATGTGTCTCTCTGGTTGACTCAGACGTTTGAAGTAGAAGGTTGTTGACTTTTTTGAGGAGTTTCTGGACTGGTTTGGCTGCCATGTCAACGATAGCTATGCACAATGTATAAATGATAACAGTTCTTTTACATTTTTACCAAGTCATAAAAAGGTATATGGAAGTATATTTTTACTGTCATTGTGTGTGTTTGAAACTATGTGCTTTTGTTTGTTTAAGTGTCTTCCTTTGTTTTTATTGATATGAGGAGCAGGGTCTTGTAGTTTTTTTAAGAACACAGTTGGCTACACACATTAGAGAAACAAATACTGTACAGTAGAATTTGACATGAATGTGTATAGTAAAACACTCCTTTTTACGACATGTGTTGTTATGTTTTGATTGCTGTTGCAGTAATTATGGGTCTAGATAATAAGGGCTATGATGCTGTTTTTAAAATGTCCATATCTTTGCAGGCTGTACGAAATGTTGCGGCACAACCTGGTAATCATTGTGTGTATATATATATATATATATATATGTTTTTTTTTTTTTTTATTTATTTTTTTTTTAATTACTATCCAACTTAAACTGTTGCTTCCCAAGTAAGCACTTAATTTCATTTAACTGGAGATGCAAATGGACATAAATGAAGCTATCCCCCAGTTCAGCTCCATTTATGAGTGCTACAGGATTGTTGTAATGAGAAGTTGGCTAGTTCCTCTAGTTGGCCACTAGAGGGCATCATATACTTTCAGTTGAAATAAACTGCTGCAATGTCTTCTTGTGCTGATTACCAAATGAAAAGCAGTTGTCCAATCTGTGATATTAAGATAACCATAACTGACACTGTGATATTGTACCCATCACCAAACTTTGTCCCAGCTGAAGACAACATTTTTATGTCCACTCCCTATCAGTAATCCATAATGACTTTAAAGAAAATGTTATTGCCAAAGAAAAGAACAAATACTGTACAGTGTCTCTTTCTCTGTCTGTACAGATGTGTGTAACAGTACTGACTTGCCAGAGCTTGAGATTATCAGCTTATTGGAGGAGCAGCTGCCAGTCTACAAGCTGAGGGCCGACACCATCTTCGGCTACGACCAAGATGATTGGCTGCACACGCCACTGGTGGACCCTGACTCTGCCCTCGACCTCACTACTGAACAGATAGAGGAGACCCTCAAATACTTCTGTAAGTTGATCATACACTGTTTTCAGATGATGTCATTAGATATGTCCCTGAAATTGCCATGTTGCACTCTCAACACCACATATATCACACAGTAGGGACAGAAAGTTAGACTTCTAGATTTAATCTTCAGGAAACTGTTATTTGACAGTGACGATGAGAATTTAAGATTGAGAGGTAAGTGATTTAAGATACATACACTGACCTTGACTGAGCAGGAATCAGAGTGGGAGAAAGAGAGAGAGGGATTTGCCCACCACAGTGTGGGTGTGCCAGCTGCTCATGGTTGCCACAACAAACATACCTGGTAGGTCCCTCTCTCACTCTCTGTTGGTTGATGTTTTGCTCTCTCTTGCACTCAGTCCTCTGTTGTGTTTTTATGCACGTGTCTGCTCTATCAGACTAAGAGCTGTCTTGTGGTTGCCCCCTATGCCAGCGATAAACCACACACACCCACTTGCACACAACTGGAGGCAAACAAACACACACAGGCTCATATAAAACACGTGCGCACACTGCAAATGGCAAACCAAGGGATCGTAAAGTGTTTTTCACCATCAATAATTCAGTTCTAATTCATGTCTGCTTGAACAGTGACTCAGGGTAAAAACATGTTCTAAAAATAGATCAAGTGTCTTTATAAATAGGTTTAACTAAGAACTGAAACTTCACCTCAATCCCCCATGCCGACATGGACACCTTGGCCTTGACATTCATCATAGCCAGCCAGGCTAAGAGGCAGTGACAAGGTCATGTTACATAAGAACCAGTATGAGATATTCTGTAAGGGGTGTTTTACTAAATACTCAACATTGCTTTTGTGCTTTATTATCAACTGTATTGTTTCCTATTACTTTAATCATCCCTAATGGATGAACATTGCTTCTTATTATTGCCTCAAACAGAAGGCCAGGTAAGGTACTGTTTCACCCAGGCCCATGATGAATGAGCCATACTGGTTTCATCCTGGTCATAAAGCTGTGTTCTCTTTAGTAGAAGTAGTTAACCATACCAACCATCATAAATAGGTCATCATATAGGTCACATTTATTTATGCATAAATACTACTTCTTTAACATTCATCTTTACCTGGAGCTGCTGTGTGTCAGATTGCTGAACAGGCATTACTGGTTTATGTTATATCATCCAAGTGGTTATTCATTTATTTAAGTATGTAAATGATGACATGGAGGCAGTTGAACAATAGAGAGCAACCATGCAAGCAACTCAATGTTGTGATGACATCACTCTCACATGTCTTACTAAACAGAGGACATAGTTGTCTGACAGGTCAAGCTATAATTTAGCTGGTGATCAGTATTGTCAACCATATGAAAACAGTTAATGTGTAGTAGATACAGATGAAGAGTAATTTAAAAGAGAGCAGTGGAAATTCACAACCAAAATATATTTTTTAGATTTTTTTTTTGTATGTAATTATGTGACACACACAACACATTTGATTTATATTTCCTTTTGATGAATGGGCAAGAGAGAGGTTTATTAGATTTCTGCACTTGTATAGATGGTATTCTTTTTATTGTTAATATAATTTCATAGCAACTACAAACTGACTCACAAAAGTAGTCAATGGATTTAATCATTGTTAAAATATATTTTCTATTCATACGATATAAGAAGTGCAGTGATAATACATGTATTTTCATGTAGTAATAGCACGTGGAGGGCTGTAACAGCATCTGTAACTCTGGACTGATGCAACATCATTGCATCACACAGGTAAAATCTGAGTTAGTTATATAAGCTTTCTAGTTTGTTAGCATAAAAATGTGTGAAAGTCACTTTATTAACTTTATTAGAGTTGCTTTGTCACACTGCTTCAGAATCACATACTATTTTCATCCTAGTAAGCAGAGATCAGTTTTGACAGCGTGCAGTTAGCCTGTTAGCTAGTTGCTGGCCTTGTGTTAGCTCCATCCTGTGAGCGTTTGAGTGTATTGAACTATACTTAATCTTTTCATCATATGCAATATCAGTCTCTGTAAGAACTTCCAAGCATGCTAACATTGAGTTTTGCTTATATCATTGAAATGGATGCAATATTTAGCATTTTGCTTTGTAACCGCTGCTCTCTCCCATGCTTTGTGCATGTGCTTATTTCATCACTCCCCTGCTAAAATAACCAATCACTGAACACCCGTTGTGTTCATTCATTTTGGGTGAGCCACGTCACCTCTGCCAACGCTACACTCTTTTCACACTAACTTGTCTCTACATGCTGCTTAGCCTCAGGCCTTGGAGTCTGAGCCTGTTACTATAGCAACCACACAGAAGGACAAAGTAGAGGAGAGGAGGGGGAGATGCTGACATACGAATGGAGGGTGGGAGCAAGCTGGGGATACTGCTGGCATCTGATTGGCTGTAGGCATCCTCTAACCCCGCCCAACTCACTGTGTCATGATTATCATCACTTCTGCTGCAAAACCCGTGACTGCTGCTGCTGCTCGCTCACTCTCTGTGCCGCTGTGTTGAGTCATTGTTAGAGATGTCCATGTGTAGAGGTTGTGCTGTCACTGAGGAAGAAATGTTACAAAAGAGAAGACAAAGGTTATAATATAACCTCAGAAAGACTCGGACAGATGACTGAAAGGGGCACAAGAGGATGAATTGACATGAAGCTATAAATGGATGTGAACATGAGAGGATGGAAGCTGACACATTTGCTGAAGCTTTGGGGTGACTGAGGTAAACTGATGGACAGAAAAGAAAGAAGAAAGAAAGATGGCAGAGGCCAAATGAAGTGAATGAAGATTTACTGAAACGGTGAGGAATTACTGATGGATAAAGGACAATACAGTGACAATGTGTTTTTTTTCTGTTAACGACTGATGACGCAAGTAACGGTTCTGTGGGATGACACGCTGAACTGGCACCAACATCACAACAAATATGGAGCATAATACACTGACAGTTTGCTGCTAATGACGAAGGGACAGAAAGAACATATGATGAGCTTGGGCAGTCTGTCACCAACAATGATCGTGTGCCAGCTGGTAACTGCTAAGCATGCTGGGATAGAAGAACTGGGCACTCACTGACAGACCAACGGACACTATTAGTAACTAATAAGACCCTAGTGACAGCTGGTTATCTCTAAGCATGCTGGGACATTGGATTTGCCGGAGATGCTACAGCTAAGTATGCTGGGACACTGGAAACAATACAGCTGTGTGTCAGAGCAGTGAGGATGAAGAGACGAGGCCAGAGCAGAGGCCAGAGGTTTGTCAAGGCAGACTACTATGAACTGGACTGGTACTATGAAGAGTGTACTGATGGTAAGACAACAGTCTGCTACAGATTTTTGTATTGACATGGTTGTTGAAGAGTCAAACTATTTACTGGAGTGGTGTTATATGGAAATGTAGATGTGTAGGATGTTAATGTTGAAAAGGTACGGTAGGTAGTTGAACAGTTACCAAAACAAGACACAAGCTTTCTAGAAACTAAAAGAGAGCTGTTTGCTGCACAGTGCATTAGATCCAGACCTCATCTTTTATCTAATATAAAGAAACTGACAGATTGACAGAAACAGATTTAATCAAGTTTTCCTGATAAGTAATTTGGGAACTGTAAGATCAAAGTTCACAATATAAGAAGTGCTTTGAGTGTGGCATACATACTCTGTGTTGTAACAGTGTTACCACTGGTCAGGTTTTATAATGTGTCCTCTGGAGACACAGACTGAGGTTAGAGTGAAGGTTAAGTGGATTCAAATTATTCTAGCTCAAAAAGCATAAAAACCATTTGTTATCTTTTACATAAACCTGTACTGGAACCAGCTTAAACCATTTTCTTTCTGCTTGTGTCCATCTGAGATAACCCAGAGAATGTGACCCTGTGGACTGACATTCATACTACAAGAAAATGTCAAAGCAAATGTTACAGAAAAGACATACAGCAGCATTAAAGCTGTAGCTACAGGAGACAGTACAATGGATGTTGTAACAGGTGCTCTGTGGCAACAGAGTCAATGTGGCTTCCAGAATAATGCCAAGGAGTAGCTTATATGAGTTGCTGTGGGTGTACATGTACAAAGTAGGACTGGGTTTTGTCATGGTTCCTCGCTGTTGGTTCTGGATCAGGACTAGAGGGACTGTCTGTACTGATGCCAGCTACCTGTTTATCATAGCTGCTGAAAAAGTTGTTGATAGCAGCTGACCTGAAGGGACAAATAAAAGTCACATGAGTCGCAAGTTGTTTTTTTTTTTTTGCAAATCTTAACATGTAAATGTAATTGTATGAGGGTTTTTAAAATAAAACAAAACAAAAAACAACATAGGAGACGATATGGAATAAATAAGTATTATGAATAAAGGATGGCTGCAAAGCTTTAAATTACCCATTAATCATAGAATTTGGTGCAGTGCATTTATGTAATGTACCCCAGTTTGTTACGACAGCTTGTGTTATTGTCCTGCTGCAGCCACAGTATGTAACCTGTGAGGGTAATGATCAATCCAATCACACAGCCAAGACATGTGGGGGACCGATGGCGCCCGGTCATGTGACACGTGTGACGAACAGCAGTTTATTGCAGTGGTCAGTTTATTAGCAGCCTTTAGCCACTGCCTCTGGTTCTCCCTCCTCTCTCTGTACATCTTTCCACCGTTGTCTGTCTCTCTTCTCTTATAATACAGCTTGTTATGGTCCATGTCTTGATGTTGTGCGTTATGCAGCTATCACCTGCAATAATTGATTTTCATTGGACTGAACACGGGTGCATTTTTATGAATTTGATGATTCATGTTGTGTTTCTTGATGAAGTTGAATTTAATGTAAATTCCAAATTTAATGTGAAGGTCTAATGAATGGAGGAAGATGGTATGATCTATGACTTGTTATGTGAGCTATATTATGTATGTGTGTCAGGGATGCTCTAGAAATGGTTACATAACAGTTTGAGACAGCTCAGCACCTCCACAATGTGAGCTGTGCAGCTTAAACATCTGCACTATTATTTAGCTGTGGCAGTCAACCCAGGC